AGCTCTTACAGCAACGTAGACCTTCAGTTGTTGTCAGTGGCCTTGCATCCTTTACGTACAACTAGTGCCTAGAGCCCTTCGGATTACGTACTGTACTGTACACCGTGATTTCCCCAGAAACCAGTCTCCATATCCAACAGCTCATAACAAACCTGGGGGAAAAGAACTAAAGGAAAGTGACTTGCTTTTACCGCGAATTCCACAATGGTCTGAGAGCAATTTCGAAAAGAGGCCTAAGCTTTAGGCAGAGAGGAGGAGGAGAGAGAGCAGGTTTCCTATGACATTCCGTTGATTTGCATAAAGCTAGTGGTGGCATTTGCAACTGGAACCGTCCTAGCCTGCCGTATCCTGCGATTCAAGCTTTGCACCTATCCGTCCCGGGCTCTGGGGCTTGGATCATAGCTCGATACAGTTGGGCAATGGGAACAAATTCAGCTGCCGTGAGGTACAGTACCTGCTCAGGTCCAAACAAAAGACGACGCTTTTTGCATTATTTTAGTGAATGTTCTCTGACGACACATCGCAGCTGGTTCATCTATCCTGGTCCTACCCGCAACCAACCCACCAACGGCATGGGTCAACGATAAGAATTGGCCCGATGTGGAGACGGGACCCAGCATCCTAACATAGACACTAACGTGATGATACTGTTCTCGTTGTTCGAAGTTTGGAGCCCGAGCGCCGATGAGGGGGCGGCTTTCTGTCACAGACCACAAACGAGCTAAAGTCCAGCGACCTGACGCCAACTGAGCGCTGTGAGCACTGTGACGAGGGGGACTTGAGCTTTCACGTGAGGAAACCACACGACTTGACTCCGAGTCCGATATTTTAATTCCGGGCAGGTTCTGAGAAAACACCGGGCACGTGGTACCCAGACGATTCCTGCTCACAGCCAGTGGGCAGAGCACTTTTACCAGAGTACCCTACACTAGTCACCACTTCATTCCCCAACCTTCGTATGCAAGAAACATTGACGAACGCGGCTTTAACTACTTCGTAATCAATCCTCCCTCCCTCCCCCCTCCTTCCCTCCATGCATGCCATGAACACAGCTCAAGCTTCGTCCTGAAGAAAACAGCAACGAAGCTGCCTCCGTTCCTGCGACACTATGCATCATCCCCCCAAATCTGCGAAGATGATTTCTGTCGATTCTATCGTGGGTTGTGTCTGATGCAGGTATTCCGTGTTGACTTGACCGCAACAGCATCCAGAAGTGTACCAGTAAAAACCCAACTACGACGATTACATGAAGTATAGTTTATGATGTGAATAAAGGACATAAGAGTCCATGAAGAAAGAGTGCTTGCGCTGGTATGGCAGGGCCACTCCTCGTTTCTATATTTGGTCCATTGTTACGAGGGTTGAAATGAATCTGACCGACCATAAATATTCTACCTCTTTTTTAACTGAATGCATTGACACCGTTTCCTTATTCTACGTCGATCATTTCCTGCACTTCCACTTTCCAGTGTACCAAAAAGCTTCAGGTCAAGTAACGATGATATCAGACAAATCGAAAAAGATCAACTGCACCAAATTCTTTGCCCTGTTGGGGATTAAAAGACTGTGAATTGCAAGAATCAAATATGTTGTAGACGGTGTGACATTCGATCATGACCCTACCCCAACAGCACTTTTGTTTGGGCCTGAGCGGAATGTAAGGGTGGTCAACGACACGGGTGGTTAGAAGCCAGGCCCCCAAGGAATCAGCTGATAGATGAAGACCTCTGGTGACAGATGCACTGGCATCTTATCTCTGCTTTCGAGTATCTTCAAAACCTTGCCACAGAAACCTTGCGGTGGCCAAGAGGCCATTAAGAAAAATCACTTTGCCCATTTTTTTTAATTTAAGGTTATAAGGTTAGAAATGACAAATATCGTACTGCCAAGTAATAACAGAGTAGAAGTTTACAGTCGGGAGTACCAAGTGAAATTGGCCTCTCCTGCAAACAAATAAGTGAAGATTCATTTGCTGTTGGAATAAGCAGTGTACCAGCAGTGGTTCAGAAGTCATGGAAATAATCCAAATTTCAACCTCTGATGTATTATGTTGTTATGAAGAAATGCTCTACCGTAATATATTATTGGCTTCTAGAGAGCCATAAATTTACAAGAATGTACATTCATGAGTTAATTTATTGTGCATCTTCTTTTGACAATAGCAAAGCCTTTGATGATGCGCCATATCTGGCTTAGCGCTTTTTTTTTGTAAATATTGACATTATATGCACATTGACACGAGCTTGTGAAAGTCCTTCGTCGATTTGTGCGGCATAGGCGCAAATCGACGCGATTTAAATTTCCAGCAAACATTATTAACGGTGATGGACATTATTTTTACGAGTCCATGTAAATACCAAAATGCATGGATCAACTTAGTAACGATTCAACAAGACTAACAAACACATATGCATGCAAATTTACCACTTTATACACAGAGTAGTTGAGACTTTTTTCCCGCTTGAAAGATTGAGCAACTTTATCAAAGCAAGCATCTTTGAATTTTCCAAGATCTTACATGATTCTTTTAGTGTTTAACATATGCAGTTCAAAGATTTTTTTTTATACTTATTGAATTACCTTTTATCTTTGATAGCTGTTTCCCAATCAATAACATAACATTTCTTTACAATCCATCAACATATTATTCAGGGAGTGACTAGTTATACTTCAGTTTTGGTTACTATCCCTCACCCTACTGAGTTGAGCTCTGTGATTAGTCACATCTATCCCTATGTTTACTAGAGCTAAGTGATATAGTCTTGGGGGCACATGGAAAAGGGGGAGAAAAAGGGGGAGAAGTAGTGCGCATTAGTCTAAGGTGAGGGATAATTAGCCCAAATTGAATGAACTTCCATTATTTAATATGTATCATATACTAGAAAAATGAAACTAGATTAATTAACATGACTTTCTTGTGTAATAATGATCTACTCGCACTTGGGTATTAAACCGATTGGCAAAAAATTATAGAATTTATAAGTACAACTCAATGGATGAATTTCATTATTTTTTATGTTAATTTGGTAAAGTTCAAGTTTGATGTTGCATATTCTTTTAAATTCAACACATAGTTTTGAGTATATAAGATACAGTTGAATACATGAAAACGTATTGTATGCAGTAATTGAGATACAAAGTAAAAAATGGTATGTATTAGATATATTGTTTGCCATGTTTCTAAAAACTGACAATTTTAAATATCTTTATTTATATGTATTCATTTGAATTAAATTCTTTTATAGTTAGCTTCATAAATGATTTTTTTACAAGATTTTTCATATATAATGCTAGATTTTTTTTATTAGATGATTAATTATCATAAAAAAAATTTAAACATTCAAATCTTTTCAATCATGTTTACAATATTTTTGAATTTTTAAAAAATTCATCCAGTTAAATTGTTTATCTCAAATATTAATCAAATTTTGTACGTTTTATTTACATATTTATTTTTTTATACTCAATTTTTTGTTATAATATAATTTTTTTTAAATTTAATTTTCAATAAAAAAGGTAAAAATTATTACAAATATCCTTTATCTTCACATTAAGAATGACATCTTTCTGTATAAATGTTAGTGAATTGAAACTAAAGTGGTGAGACTTATAAGATGAAGTTGACATTTTATTAAATTTTCTATAATTACTATTAAAACAATCCATATGGTTGATAGATAATATATACATTTTTATCCACAACGACAACTAAAATATATGTGTGTTTGTTCAATAAAAAATAAAATGTTTGGTTAGTGCTGAAAATAACACTCCAATTAATCATGTGCTTGATATATTTTTTTTATGTAATTAGTCCACTAATGTAATGAATAGAAGAGTTTATTTGAGTTCTTCTTCTTTTGTGTTGATTATCGTATATAAAATATGAAAGGAGACTCAATCCTAATATTATACCGGTGACCTTAAATTTGTCCTTTCATGATCACTCCATAACGACGGTATCACAGCACCAGGGCTGTGCTAATCCTAACCCCAAAGGATGAACCTATACCAATGTCATGCTGCCACACATCATGTATGTGAGAAACTCGAGAACGGGTGAACCAACATCTCGTGAATGAAGTAATTTAAGTATAAGAGTATTTGAATATATTTCCGTTGTAAATTACAACGTGAACAAGCCGGCATGTTAATAGACGGGAAGAGGGAAGGGGACGAAGTTCATCGGAAGACCACTCGCACCAACTCTGCCACACGCTCTTTCCTCGTCCTCCTTCGCAGCTGAGTAGGGAAGGGACAATACTTCAGCGCCAAGCAAAGGGCGGAACAGAAAGGTGGAAAAAGTCTCCTCACGCTCAGTTCCTCATCCAAAGCGCGTTGAGGTCAATGTCCCCGAAGCTACCGCAAGCGGCCAAAGTCCAAACGAAAGGTTCTTCGCATTCCGCCCGAATCTAATCCGAAATGCGAATCATCTGCGAGAAAAAATATGTGTGAAAAATTTGCCTCTGCATCTTCAGACAGAACCAGACGGAAGGTACTAGAAGCTACCTTCTCGTCGCGGCAGTGACCTTCTTCGGGTGCCGCGGTCATTGCTCCTCTGGCCTCCGGAGGAGACGAGGTCCTAACGGCAGTAACATAGTTTCCTTCCGAAAGTAAAGCGACTTTGATTTCCATCTCAAGGTGAAATGAACTAAGCAAGAATATTTCCGTACCATGTCTTGTTTGTGTACGTAGGGGACTGTGCTATATTTATCATATACGTAATAAAAAAAGCCTCGGTTTAATTAACAATATATTTTACACTGAATGCATTTCTTATTGCCGTGAGTAATGACGTGTGATGGCCAATCAGAACGTGATGTTGTTTAGGAGATACTACAGTAATTGTAAAGCCGATTATTATCTTCGCGAAAGTCGCTAATAATTTGCAGAGCAAGGGCGTCCACATCATCCTGAGCAGATCACGCGTATACACGCGGTGGGAGCTCGCGGCTCTATATATCTCGATGCACCATGGCCTGTGAAGTTATTGTTGGAAGTCACAGCTGAAGCACGGGAAGAGGTGTTGCACTCGTAGACAGACTCCTGACTTATCTTTGATTTCTGGAACAGCTGTGTGCACCATATCACTCTTAGAACCTGCGATATCGCACCCACTCGCCATCGCTTTCGCTGGGTAAGTCTGTAGTAGTTGCGCTTTGCCGACTTCGTCGACACTGAATTTGCGGTCTAGACTGAACACTTTGCTGTCTGCGACGACTCTGTGAGAGAGATCGGTTTTGGGCGTAGGTTCGATTGGTCGTGGCTTTGGGGCCGAAGTGGACAGTAGAGAAGTATCTAAAGGAAGCGTGAGTCTGGAGTGTGACAGCTGCGGAAGCTACAGGCTTGTTTCATTGCAGAATTTGAATTTGGACTGACAGTGCTTACGGTTCATCTCTCTGCCACGCTCGATCTTGCTGCCGTCAAGGAGTGCAGTCACTTGTAAAGCAAGTAGTTAGCAAGGGAGACGGGGCAGTGGTGTGTCTTTCTAAAGAATGCAGTGTGACATATGCCAGGCATGACTTTACCTCCTGGATTTCGCTTTCATCCCACGGATGAGGAGTTAGTTGATCATTATTTGACGAATAGAGTCAAGGGTATCCCTCTTTCTTACAAGGTGATAGCAGATGTTGATCTTTACAAGTGCGAGCCATGGGATCTGCCATCAAAGTCGAGTTTGCCACAGGTCGATCACGAGTGGTTCTTTTTCAGTCCTCGGGACAGGAAGTATCCAAATGGCTCCCGCACGAATAGAGCTACGGAAGCTGGATATTGGAAAGCAACTGGGCGCGACCGCACGGTTAAAAAAGAGTCCAAGAAAACAATTGGGATGAAGAAGACCTTAGTGTTTTACAGGGGACGCGCTCCTCATGGAGAGAGAACTGATTGGCTTATGCACGAGTATCGTCTGGATGGAGAAGATTTTCAAAAGATGAATGTTCCCCAGGTAAGGATCCTCTGCACATATGTTCCGAATATGGTGACTGGGAAATTGGTCGGTGTCCATTTTCATACTGTCAACGCAATCTGGATCCATCATCTATAGGTACAACGATCGATTCACGTTTGTTACTTTTTGGATCAACCACATCTAGCCAAACAGATTGACGAAAGGTGTCACGAACCAGTTTCTGGTGACACTTAATCATTGGTTGGATCACAGTTGTTGATCAGTCTGGCGATTTCTGTTGTTTAGAAATTGAAAATATGTCGAGCCGTGTCAAAAATCTTCTAGATTTCTCAGATTGTTTGGTCTTCTTGATAGTGTTGTTTCTAATTCCAAGTTTGAGCTTGAGTTTACGATGATCTTCCAAAAGAAGATTGCATCCTGGAAATGTTCATCTCGATCCAGCTTTATTTGTGGTACTGAAGGGAAGGTTGTTTGCTCTTGTCCAGGATGCCTTTGTGCTGTGCCGTGTTTTCAAGAAGAACGGATTCGGGCCGCCGAAGAATCCGAGTGGAGGATCTGGTTCCATGGAGGAAGTAGTCGACCAAGTTGATTCTCCCGGAGAAGTCAAAAGTTCTCCCTTTTCCGAGAATGATGTGAAACCAAGTATGACGAGTTTGGCGAATTTGGCTCCGCTGTCACAACAATTGTCAAGTCCCCAAGAAGGGCTGTCCGAGAATCACATCATGAACGGAGTTGTTGATAATTTCGTCGGTAGATCTTCAGGTCCGTTCATGGATGATCTGTTCGTGCCCAACGAGAACTTCACCAGACCGACACGCAGCTCGGAGGCCGATAATTCTGAATTCTCTCTGGACGAGGGATTGGAGAAGGTTAGTGAAAGTTCTACTGCTAGTTAATGAAACTTATGCGTGGATCCATTACAGGTCATCATTTGCCGTGGGGGTTGAGTCGTTGCCTGGTGGAGGAGGTAGAGAGCATCAAAGGAAGTGAATTCCAGAGATAGACCGACCATTTGATGTTCGACGATGTAGAATCTTATGGATGCCTTTGTTGTGTGTTTAGATGTGTAATCAACTTCTGTACGGGGTTGAATCAGATGATGGACCTTATTAACATCTCCAACCGCACGCCCATATTACCAGGTTTCTTAGATTTGTGTCAGTTTCCTTGTGCCTTACAGGTTTTATCTATGTTATTCGATGTTGGTGATTCTGACTGGTAGGATGTGTTCTTGATATGTCGCAGAGGAATCATCAAAAATTGCTGGATGACTTTTACGCGATTTGTCCTCCTCTCGATGGCGGGGGAATGGCCCCTTTGGAAGACCTGGATCCTTACACTGACATCCCAGGACTGATAGATTCAACGAAGATTGTTCGAACCGAGTTCAACAACAAGTGGCAGGAGCAAGTAGCTTATCAGGAGCAAGTAAATGGCGTGTACAATGCTTGGGATGGAGTTCAGAGTCTTCCCAAGCACGAAGAGCAACTCATTTTCCCGACTCATTACGAGAATGACTTTGGACCTCTTCCGACCTTAGTCCAGCTGCCGAGTCCTCCAACTCAGACCTCATTTGACGATAACGATACAGAGAGTAGTTCCACCCCTTCGAGTAACAACCATTTCACCACTTTCCAAAGACGTACTCGACCGTCGGTGATCTCACCCATAGCTGCCGGTGGATACTCTTCACCATACACTGCGAAGAGGCGTGTGCTACTTCAGCATCGGGGACCAGTCACCGTGCCGATAGCTGATTTGGCTGCGGAGAAGCCCTCTGAAGCGAAGTCATCACTTGTCTTGAAAGCGGAGACAGTGGAACTGAAGCTGTCTTCGGACACTCAGGTGAGAAGTGCTCATTAAATTGGTGACTGCCTTAATTGGAAAATGATTTTCGAGTTTCTCGGATCGTTCTGTCTGTCAGGGTTTGGTGAACCTGAAGCTCGTGTTCCTTCATTTTTGCTGCCTTCCCAAACCGGGAATCTGTTGGAAATGTGACTGCTTTCTCCGATCAGCTGTATGTGGTTCGTGATTTTGATTTTCTTCCGGTACTTCTGGATGCAGGCCACATCTGCCGAAGAGAGTCAGGTCGAAAGTGAAGTCGCCAACCGTCAGGATAGTACGTGGGCAACCAATGTGATAACTGCGCCTCTCTCCGACGATTCATCGGACGATAGGGGTGACGATGTGAGTCGGTCGTCTGTCAGTTGTACAATAAACTCATCTGAGTTAGCTGCTGGAAGTCCTATCCAGCTGATCAAACCAGTTTCTGCTCAACCGGTCAGCGATGATACATCCTCTGTACATAAAGTATCATCAGACGCGTCTCCCCCTCGTGTGGACGTCGGTTCTCGCGATTTCGAGAGCGGTAATGTTCGAGAGAAACAGGAGTCTGTGTCAGAGATCGAATCAGGTCACAGCTCTGCTGCTCACGCTTCGACTTCGGATGTAGATAAGTCTAACTGTCATTCGGTGGAACCAACTTGTGAGGCCGCAGTTTTCAATCAGGGAGAAACGCCAGGATATCTGAAGAAGGGCTATGTAAACAATAGCGAAGTCATGAGGCACATGGGTCTGGGACTGTTCGAGCCAATCTCCGCTCTTCGGCCGGCAGATCTAAAATCGACCGGCAGATTTTTACCTGCCTCCTTAAAGAAGCAGGTGACCTCCAGGGAGTTGCCAGCCGGAATTGGTTCTATTCATGTGAATGCTGTGACAGTCACGTGCTCTTGCTCTTCGGCTGGACGGCCTCATGTGCCAACGAAAGCCTGTGCATGTTACCCGACCTTCTGGGAAGGTCGGTGCGAGAAGGATACTTCGACAAAGCAGGATTGCAGTGAAGCAGAGAGATCGGAGACTCGTGATGAGATCTTGTCAAGATTTAAAAGGCACAAAGGTTTTGAATGTCTGCTCCTTCTTCTTGTTGTACATATGGTATGCTCCATCTTGGAGTATCGCCGAGGACATTACAGCTTTCTTCTCCATTTCGGTGACAGCGATTTTAGTGAACGTTTCTTCAGCAGTTTGCCTCGACTTTTTCGAGATCTCTTGTTCGCAACGTTTGGAGCTATGTTTCTTTACCTTTTTCAACGGCGATCAGTTCCATGGCGATCGATTTTTACTCGAACAGCTGTAAATAGTGAGCCCTCGTCTGCAAGTATATTCTAGCTTTTTCAGCAGGCGGCCCAGTGCTGGGTTATACACTTTTGTAGTCAAATCTTAAGAGCGCACGATAAGTGAGCTTGTTGGTTATATGTACTCATGAATAATTAATAAATATACTAGTATGCGGCAAAATGTGTGACTCATCTCGTACATCTGAGAATGGTTTGAATTGTCGAAGGTTATCATAAGCTTGTCAGAGTGAAGTAAGTGAAGTCTTTGTCAGATTCTATGATGGTGATGGCAAAGCTGGTCAGTCATGTCTATTTTTGTTGGCCACCGGGACTGCATCCTACTGCATTTGGGGTTGACGCGTATGAAGGTTAGTTTCATATAACAAAGGTCTATCCCTTTCAGAGTTTTCTCGCAAAGTTTCCTCTGGTATTGGTAAAGGTTGGTATAGTAAAGGCTAAGATGAATGGATTAGTAGATAATTACAAGTTAACATTTGATAATTGTAAAAGTCCACCAAACTTTCAAGTTCCAACTCAATTCCAAATGATAACTTATTTAGTAATACAAATTTAAGTAATCTCCCATCTTCTACCTCCCTCTTTCGTTCATGTTACTTACTTCTGGTTCTAACTCTGGAGCCTCTTTTGATATTGTCCTCGTTATCTTATTATTGAAATGTTGTAAATAGTGAAGCTTTAACATTGTCATATCTGATGGATCTTAGAAATTAAAGATGTTACTTCCTTCAATAGACAACACTAGTTTTGAAAGTTAGATTTGAATACTTTTCCATTATGTTGTTTTTTGTGTAATATCTGTTTTGTGGCATTGTGACTATTCTTCAAATGTTTCTGGCCATGCTCCCACTTTATCATGAAAATGTGAGATCTTATGAGAACATGTTGACTACAAAGTTCTTTGGACTTCATCGCATTACGCCTTATAGTGGTCATAAGTTGTGGTAAAAAGGTAACCCGGTAAATTATCATAAGGTAAACGTAAAAGTAGATAATAGTGATGAGGCCAAAAGGTAACCGGGTAAATTATCATTAGGTAAAGGTAAAAGTAGATAGGTAACCCGGTAAATTATCATAAAGTAAAGGTAAAAGTAGATAATAGTGATGAGGCCAAAAGATAACCGGGTAAATTATCATTACCTGGACATGCTTAGTAACTCCAGAATCCAAGAGAACGGCCTATCTGGGCATCTCGGCCTACCCGGACAGGACCTTTAGTTTGGTGCTCTATCCAATTGAGCTACAAGCACTAGTTGGCTATTCTTAAGCACTACGTGTCATATACGCTTGATCACTGCGAAATAAATAGAAAAAAGATAAAAGTAAAGGTAAAAGTAGATAGTAGTGATACGGGTCATGTAAAGGCAAACTAACCCTTAACCTTTTATTTTACCTTGCTGAATCTTAGTTTGTGGACATCTAAGTTTCTTGTTCCCATCAGCCAGCCGATGTATTCTTAGTCGTGTCCACACTTGGAGAGTTATATTGTTGCCTATTGAATGCAAATATTGATGAACTTTAGTTAAGTATTTCTTGTTTGATGGTATATCCAACGCTGTCTTGAAAAGGAGAGATTTGGCCGTGAGATTAGATACCGTCGTGTGGGAAGAAGAGGAAAAGAGATAATATTTTCAGTGGAGAATTTGTATGTTCGTAACATATAAACATTTTCATTTGAATTCTTTCATTATCAACAATTCAAAAATTAACACAATTACAGTTGCTTACCTTATCACTTCTATAACTATTACATTTCTAATAATTAGCTAAATAACGATTTTTTATTATTAGTATTTGAAAGCATTTACTTAAATTGTTCAAATATAACAACTATTACACCTTTAATGCTAAAACAATAATGTCATGATCAAAATACCAAGACTAAAATGAAAAGAAAAATCTGAAAGATATCAATATGATTATAGTGAAGACTAAATTATGATGTGAGTATGAATATGGGATGAATATGACTATAGTAGATTTGTATTATACAATTTACTTTATTTTATTTGATTTTGAGCCAAATGGTGAAAATTCCAATGCAAGAAGAGCAAAATACACACCTCCACTTGAAGTAGAAAGTGTATGACAAAAATTTAAGTTTTTAACTACCTGATAATATCAACCAAACCTACTTAAATTAAAATATCTTCAATCGGGTATGTGTGCACCCATCTAACCTTATGAACTTGCAACATACAAATAGTTTCGTTCCAAGATCATTGGCTAATGAACTTTTTGCCTGCTCTATGAGCCGCATCCGCTTGTTGTTTCTCTAATGATTGAACAAGCACAACCATGTTGTTTTGGCCAGATTCATTGTCGCATCCTAGAGCGCACACTCCATTTGAGCAATGGACCATTGGATGTTCTTAAACATGCACACGTTCCATCGCAACTAGATTAATCATATGATTTATGTTTGCAAGATGCAACCTTGGTCCAATCGGAGATGAAATTCACAAGAACCAGCCCTGTCCACTTCAGTCTAGTAGGCAAGCTAAGTGTTTGTCGCGGATGAAGCCAATGGCGGCCACGGCTAGCCGTGTAGACGTAGAGTGACACACTGGACTTCTAGGTCTAGCGGCATGGGTCGAAAGTAAAACAAGAAGTGGATGCCAAATACTTAAGCAACGGTTTGCCCTATTCTGTTACCAACGGATTTACTGCAATGACACAAGTGCAAGCAAAACGAACTTTGTACAGAATGGGACCCTGTGAAGGTCAATGGAGAGGTATCAGTGACAAAGATTAAGACCCCATCATGAAAGTAGTGTGAGCTACGGGGATCAAAATGCTTCTTTGATCTTGTGACATTGGATGGCAAAACTCTAAAGACGTTTGAAACATGATCAAATGATCATTCATGATGTCTTTAGCATAGATCTTAAGCCATTTCCTTTGAATCAATTGAGTTTGTGTGCGATGACCGATGATCTTTCACTCCCTCAAAATCTTAGATTGAAACAAGGCTATTTAGCGTCTTTTTGATTCTTGCGGTCCATATCGGAGTTGTATCTCTTGCCATGGCAATAATTGCATTATATCATGAAGCTAAAGATCGTGGAGACACTGTAATCCTCTGTCCGTCAATAGGCAAGCTTGAAGTAAACTAAAATCAAAGTTATTGCAGAGGAAGTGTGTATTCCATCAAAGCTGAGTGTTATGAATTTCCTCAAATGTCGTCAAAGATTCCGCATCCATCAATGGAGTAAGAAGTCGTCATGCTTGTACAAGTCTGTTTCACGGAGTGCAATCTTGGGGTGCTAAAAATTTGGGCCCTATAGCGGATCAAGAGCTTGATCCAAATGATCTGAGACCGGCCAAAAGTTGGTGTAGAAAGATATGAAGTGGTAACTATCGGGGACAAGGGCCTTGATCATACACTTTTCCATAAAAGCCGTGAGTGACACTTCTGGGTCAATGATGTCCAGTCCTTCAATGCGTTTTGTTGCTTAACAATCACTCTAGCAAACACGAACCGTTACATTTTTTCCTTACCGACCCATAAATAGTTATTGAGTGATGCACAAATGATGCGTAGAATTGCTATTGATCTGCCCTTAATGCTATGAAAGTATCACAACGTTGAAAGAAGTACAGAATTGATCATCAAAGAATGGGCTGCAAGTGAGAGGTGAATCAAAGATAGATATTCAAGTTTGGCTTTGATCTTATCGGCCATAAACGTGTTCACATTTGCCATGTTCAAGGAAACACCAAATGGTGTACCTAGCAATTTTGATAAAGTCTTAGAGGAGCAATCATGCATCTAAAAGAGTATAGACAGCTAGAAGTAGCAAATCAATTTGAACTTAGAAACAAAATAATCTTCACAAAAAATAATAATTTTAGTTATAAAAATAATATGTATGAAAAGAATAATATTAAAAAACATATTTATAAATTTAGATAGCTTCAATCAAAAGTAAAAAGAGATCAAAGTATTTATATTCAACTTTGAAATATTTATCTAGTATAAGAACAATAATAATAATCTATCTCTAATATGCTACTCAAGCCTCATCACCGTCCCCTTTACTTTGTCCAACAACTTAGCTCTTAACTGTGAAAATCACGATGTTGATGTCTAAGAAACTTGATAGCTCGTGAGTGATTGCAAATCAAGTGTATGTGGATGATGATGATGAGGCGGAAATCTAATGGGAATCATTGCTCCGGTCAATAGAATGCTTGTTGATATGGTCCATGGTCCAGGTTAAATCAAGGATGGAGTTGTCCTTTTCTATGATAGAATAGTATTGATTATTGTAAATAGTAAAAAGGTCTTTGTACTTGTATACTGAGTGTCAACTTTACACGCAAAGTAAAATAATCCGCAATGTACTCACTTCCGTTGCATCAATATGCCCTTGTCCGTACATGACACGACATGAGAGTGAGTTTGCACAACATCTTGGTTCAAACATGTTAGAGCAGACTTGTCAAAGAGTAACATTTGCTGATTGTCATTATTAAATCCCATCCACCTTTAATCTGTATAAAATTTAATAATGTTGGTAGAGTCACAACAATTTGACGAGAACAAAGGTTGAGCAAAATTTTAAATGCCACTGTCTTAAAAGTCTTAAAACTGGATTAGTAAGCATTTATTACGTCTGCGTAATCATCACTCGGCAAAAACTTCAATTAGTATAGTAGTTAAGCATGTATCAGTTTAGACAGGTGCAACACATAATAAACTAACAAGTGTTAATGACCTATCGCAAGATCATTCCCTATGATTACTGTAAAAAAAATTCGAGTTCAAAGTGCCGAATTGATTTTATATTCAGCGCAGCTACTAAGTTTAAAATCAATTTGCAAAAACCTAGATGTCATTCATTTTTTGATAGTTTTGAGTAATATGTATTATTTTAAATCAAAATATATAGTCTGTAGTTAAATGTATAGAACATATGCTAGATAAGGCACATCTCCTAGACTTACTTTAAGAAAATGGCTTGCATGATGGATACAAACAATTTTCTTTTCCTTAGTCATTTTATGTGAGTAAATTCAATTTAGTGTGTAATCTCACAAGAAGTACTAAGTGATTATCATGAAGCACTTTTATTCTAGTGCGTAAAAGGTACAATGAGGTAGTATAGATTGCAATAAATATCACAAAAAATATCTGAGTTTTCAATACATATCTC